TATATATACAAACATAGATGCCAATATGAATGATCACAGTTACTATGAAACTGAAGGTCTGAAAGACAGAGGAAACTGGCTCATTAGAGACAAACGGCTTTCGCAAAAGTTCCTTATCTATTTTGCTTGATGAATGAAAAAGTTTGCAATCTTACCCAAAATATCCTCGAAACTGCTCTTCACGGCTTCACCATCGAGCCGTTGTAGTTTCAGAATCCGATAAATTATTTTTATGTGGCACAAGCAACTCATCTGATTCTTTGAAAAATCATTCAACTCGGCTTGACTAAAAAGTTTGGTTCGACTTGTTTCACTTGTTGAATTGTAGATATATTATGTGTGCATGTATAAATTAATCTCAGATTCCTTCATCAGAACAAAATGAATAGTCGCTGCCAATATTTTGGGACAGAGCTAAAGCATCAAGTTGTGCTGTCGCAATTTCGACACTTGTTCGCAGATATTATTTGGGTTATCGTCACAGTTTCGGTTACTTGTAAATTAGAGAAATGTCACAGTAAGCAATGCATTCATCCAGCTTGAGTGACCATCATAACACCACTAGTGGAGATAATGAAGTCGGAAATTTCGGAATATACATATTCCATTCATTTACGCTGTTTTGGAGCAGAAGTGAGCGAGCAAAAAAAAGATAGAAAGTGCGCAGTTCAAAATTAAATGTAATTGCGTATCAATTAACATTGAAATTGGATTGAACTTGAAAAAGACTTGATTTCATCGATTGATCAGTTTCATTATCCATTTTTGCGATGAATTAAAGTGACATGAAGGCCTAGCGGGTTTAATCCAAGTGAAACAAACAGTCGAATTCAGCATGAACAATAATAAAAGAAATTACAGGGAACGTGGACTCTTAAATAGAATTTTTCAGAAGCAGCTCACTGCAACTGATTGATGTAAACATCTTTTCATAAATACCAGCACAACTTTATTGAGATGAATTTTATTAGAGATCCTGAATAGGACAAGAAAAACATTTTCTGACATTGATCATCTGATGGTAAGATCAGTGAAAATATCAGTAAGGTTCCCTAAAAGATATCGAATTTGAGTGAAATAATTGAGTTTGTTGATGTTTGTTTGCCTGGACTGTTGGAAATCCGATGGAACTTAATTAAGCACAATCCATAATCATGACGACCATATTTCAGATTGAAACGGTGAATTTGCGACGATTCTTGATTGTTAATGTTGTACAAATTGCTGTAATTATTATGCTTTGGTTTCACTCTTCTCCAGTACTTTCTGACAGTAAATTTATTCACCGTCATTTCTCACGAATTTGAATTGCCTCTTTCCTCACTGATCGACCGGTTGCTAATTTTCCAGTATACTTCAGTCTAGAAAATCATTCAGATCAGTGTTCCTCAACAAGAGCAATATCGTCCACCAAAAACGGTTTGTAGAGACAGCATTTTGGCGAAACGAAATAAACTTTTTGAAATCATCATATGGTTTTCACATCCTTACTGAAAACGCGTTATTAAATAGTGCGATGCTTGAAAGAAGAAGAAGAGCATAATTTGGCTGCAGTCGTAGCTCAAAGAAAATGATCGAAGAATGTTGAGTGCCATTGGTATAAATGAGTTTGAATTTGTTGACGAGAAATGAAACTTTGTTTTCTGCCCAAAAATAAGGTACATTCAGTTGTTCGAATAAACAACGCTGTGAACATTGGTGAGATTAATTCAAGTAAGGAAAAAATGAACTAAAATTGTATGGCTTAGGCTTGAAAAAGAACGCTTACTAAGAACCGAACAAGTCAGAACTGCATTGCATTTCATTACAGAAAGATTTCAGAATAAACATGTTCATATGCTTTAATAGATATAAAACATTAAAATTCTCAAAAATATCATATTTCATAGTCTCTCGTTGCATCGTATTTTGATTGATGTGTGTTTATAAGCGTGAATATTTATTTATATTAAGTATTAGACTGCACGTATACATACATATATATATACATATATATATATA